AGTGGCCTTCTGGGTCATTGATCTCGGTAAGAAGAGTAAATGGAATTGTATGATGGAAGGCTAGCAAACTCCTCCAGTGGTCTGTTCTAGCTTAAGCTGTAAAAACCTGTGGGTTCCCGGGAGCTAAAATATTTGGGTGTCAGTCGTGCAACAAAATGAATTTCCAGGAGGGCCACAACACCTGCCTTTAGAGATGCAAAAGCTTGGAAGGCCTTGACCCTCTTATGAGAAGAATTGGGACCCTTAACATTCACGTCCAGTACATTCAAGGGGACCATGTTGAATTGAGGGAGGAGACAGCATATGAGAGTCTTGAGCACATTAGGAGCAGAAGACCACAAAAAAAAGGAGAAAAAGATTGGAAGGAAAGAAAAGAAATGCAGAGAAAACTTCCAGGGATAAGAGAAATATTCTGTAAGGCAACATAATTTGCAAAATAGTGGAATGTAGGTGGTTGCTATTGCCCAACCACTAAGTGCTCAAACTCCCAGGACAGCCAGCTGGCTGGCGCGTAAGGGCACAAAAATTGAGGAATGCTCCCTGCAGCATTCAAGATAATCAAGATAACAGAGCATTTAAAAACATAGCATTAAAGACATACCATACATGTTAATAGTACAACATAATGATGTTGCATCAGCATAAGTTTTAATCATTCAAATACCAGTACAAATTGAGGACATGGGAGGAAAAAGGGGAAGGGAGAGAGCTAGGGGAAAAGGTTAGGTGGGGGGGGGGGTCAATCTGTTAGGCAGAATGCTCACTGTTCCTAGTTGCACTATCAAAAGGTAATTGCATGAAATAACATTAATGGTTTCTAATGGGACATTAAGAGTCTAAATATGAAACTGGTGAGAGGTATCAAGCATGCTATTTGTGTACAATTTTCTAATCAGGTCTGAATGAAGACAAACTGGTATAAACATTAAAAAAAAGACACAGTGGAGCTTCTGCCGTAGCCCAAATTGAAAATCAACAGCTGTGTAATACCTCAGGGGGTAATTATAGAAGAAAAGGTTTCCCTGCAGAAAGTCGACTGGGTAGGGTCAATAGAGAAATGGCAAATCTGGAGAAGGGCTCAGTCTGGTGTGGAAAGAGTTGAGCCTCTAGGATGTTGAGGTATTGGCTTCATAGGAGTTCCCTTATGGATGGATGCTGGGCCTATAGGAGTGTGAATCGGTGTTGCAGTATAAGATTGCAGAGCTAGTGTCAAGGGCAGTAGTAGTTGTAGAGACCTGGGGTAGTACAGGTATTTTGTTGTCCTCGATTGGTAAACTGCAGAGCAAATGAGATTCTCCCGATGTATTTGAGTTGATGCTCTAGATGAATCTGGAGCTTAGGTTTCATAGGATGGCACTTTGCCACAGTGAGAGGGGCCAGGTCATAAAAGATATGATGCAGTGCATCCTCAGAATGAGAAGCAGATAGGAGTTGTTCCTTTGTGCAATAAAAGTGCAGCCAAACTACACTGCTCGAAAAAATTTAAGTCTAAAAAATTAAAGGAACTCTTTGAAATCACACCAGATCTCAATGGGGAAAAATATCATGCTGGATATCTATACTGATATGGACTGGGTAATGTGTTAGGAACGTAAGGATGCCCCATTGTTTGATGGAAATGAAAATTATCAACCTACAGAGGACTGAATTCAAAGACACCCCAAAAATCAAAGTGAAAAAATGATGCAGCAGGCTAGTCCATATTGCTGAATTTTCATTACAGCAGCTCAATATGGTACTCAGTAGTTTGTATGGCCCCCACGTGCTTGTATGCATGCCTGACAACATTGGAGCATGCTCCTAATGAGACAATGGATGGTGTCCTGGGTTATTCTCTTCCAGATCTGGCCATTGACATCACTGAGATCCTGGATAGTGTGTGCTGCAACCTGGCAGCGTTGGATGGATACATGATATTACAGAGTTGTTCTATTGGATTTAGGTCAGGCGAGTGTGGGGGCCATTCAATGGTATCAATTCCTTCATCCTCCAGGAACTGTCTGATACTCTCACCACATGAGGCCGGGCATTGTCATGCACCAGGAGGAACCCAGGACTCACTGCACAAGTGTAGGGTCTGACAATGGGTCCAAGGATTTCATCCTGATACCTAATGGCAGTCAGGGTGCCATTGTCTAGCCTGTAGAGGTCTGTGCTTCCCTTCATAGATATTCTTCCCCAGACTGTCACTGACCCACCACCAAAACGGTCATGCTGAATGATGTTACAGGCAGCATAACCTTCTCCAGACTCTTTCACTTCTGTCAGAAGTGCTCAGGGTGAACCTGCTCTCATCTGTGAAAAGCACAGGGTGCTGCCAATTCTGGTGTTCAATGGCAAATGCCAATCAAGCTCTGTGGTGCTGGGCAGTGAGCACAGGGCCCACTAGAGGTTGTCAGGCCACCCTCATAAAGTCTGTTTCTGATTGTTTGGCCAGAGACATTCACACCAGTGGCCTGCTGGAGGTCATTTTGTAGGTCTCTGGCAGTGCTCATCCTGATCCTCCTTGCACAAAGGAGCAGATATAGGTCCCGCTGATGGGTTAAGGACCTTCTATGTCCCTGTCCAGCATTCCTAAAGTAACTGCCTGTCTCCTAGAATCTCCTCCATGCTCTTAAGACTGTGCAGGGAGACACAGCAAACCTTCTGGCAATGGCACATATTGATGTGACATCCTGGAGGAGTTGGACCCTCTGTAGTGTCTAGGCATTACCTCATGCTACCAGTAGTGACACTGACCCTACCCAAATGCAAAACTAGTAAAACACTGTTAGAAAAGATGAGTAAGGAAAGAAATGTCAGTGGCCTCCACCTACCACCATTCCTGTTTTGGTGGTAGTTTCGTTGTCCATCTAGTGGATCTATTGTTAATTTCATTAACACCAGCACCTGAAACTGAGTAACAACCCTCTTTGCTACTTAACTGACCAGATCAATATCCCAGCACTTTAATTGACTTGATGCTATACTCCTGATTAAAAGGTGTTTTTTTGAGCATTGCATTATATCCCAGGGACCTGTGGATCCTATCAAACTCTAGGCGTTCAATGGGTATATATGGTGATAGTTCCTGAAAAATATCAGTAGTGAATGATGTTAAATCATGAATAGATTCAGGGATTCCACAGATCCACAGGTTAGACCTACGATAATGATTCTCTGCGTCCTAAAAACAGGAAAGCAGCATTTTGTTCTCTCATGGAGCTCCTCAAGCTCCTGGGTATGCTCATTAAGTGTAGGTTCCATGTCATCCACACAGGTTTCCAGGTCTGCTGTATGTTGGCCTAGTTCCTGTATCTCCTGTGACAAGAGATCAATAATCTGCTCTGATGTGGTCTTAAGTGCTTTTTTTTTGCATAGTTTCCATATGTTTTAAGAGTCTCTTTTAGACATACCTGAGTGTGGGGTGATTGGAGAATCGTTGAGGCAAAGAGTTGCGCCTGCTTCTCCATCACTTTCCAAAGGCTCCTATCGAGCAGGAGATGAGGTGTGTTGTAGTATGGAGACCTTCACTGCCATCTTGGATGAAGAGCAAATGAGAGCCTCTTTGATGGGTTTAGGCTTGCTCTTCCCTCGGTGTTCCATATGGACCATCCTTTAAGTTTAGGTGGTGTTTCAGGGGGGGATAGCGAAGCAGCTGCAGTGGTATGAGGGCTTGGACCCGAGTTAATCCTGGTGCTGCGGGGAGGGTGAAGCTCTAAGGAGACAAGTCCATCACGTTGAGCTTCATTCATGCGCCCCACCCCAAACTGTTTTTTAAAAGCATGGCAGTTCATTTTTATTTTAAAAAGTCCATAAACATAGATTCCCACACAGGGGTTGTTCAGCATCAAAAAAGTCTATCTGGCTATACTTTCACAGCACCACTGCTATGAATACTGGTTCTTCAGCTCTTCAGATTTGCTCATCCTTGCAGATTCCCACATCTCACTGCCTAGGCACCTCTCCTGGCCTCTCTAAATAGAGATATCCAGCTGCCCAAGCTTGCTTACTTTACTAAAGGCTTTCTTGGTATCCCAGACCCGTGTAACTGTCTCATCTTTTACAGTCCAGTGATAAGGAGTACCCCCATGGAGTGCATTCTCTTTCAGGAACGCACAGCTCTCCTGACAGGGGTCTTCACACAAATCACAGTAACTTCTGAGCTCTCATCGGGCATGGCTTATATTGGGAGTTTGCACCTGGACACACACAACCTGTATGCTTCTAGTAAGAACTGGACACAGAATTCACTGTGGGTCTGATGGCAAAATTATGTTGATGATGGTGCCATTTTGTCACAATTACAGTGAGAGCCATTGAAGCACAGCTTCCTTACATGAAATCATCCTTATAAGTTCAAAGCTGATGGAAGGAAGTGTTGATATTTAGGTAGGCTTGTAGGAGGGGTAGATGGCAGGGAGGACATAACTAGTGGGATAAATGCTAATTCATAATATCCAAAGAGCAGGCTGGAGGTGTGAGTAAGTGACACAAGTATCTTCAAAGTTACATTTTTTTATATTATATATATATCATTGATGAGGTGTTAATTTCCTGATCCCAGCATTATGGTAGTTGGATTCATTTGATTTGTTTAGGCATGTTAACATCCCTCTAACGCTCTAGCATGTCCAAGCATTAATTTTTTTATTTCCATGTTTCTGAGGCAATAAACAAATTTCACACCATCACCAGACTTATTTTTTACAGAGGCAGATTCTTGGAGGAGGGATCACCAAGATGCCTTACATCCAGGGGCGGACTGACCATTTGGAAACTTGGGCACTGCCCGAGGGCCCGGGGTCAGTACGGGGCCCCATGAGATGCCCATGGTATCTTTTTTCATAGGATTTTTGAGTTTAGGCAAGGACACAGGGGCCCCATGATCCCCTATTGCCCGGGGGGCCCCATGAGTTGTCAGTCCGCCCCTGCTTACATCAGTTCTATTTAACCATCTCCCGCCTGCCATATAGTAATATGACGGCGCAAGGTGGTTCTCTCCTTCTGGGAGGACATCACATGACGTCCTCCCATTCTCACTGCGCATGCGCGGCTCAGGGAGCGCGCAGCGCGGTGATCGGCGGTGCGCTGTGTCCCTCAGACACAGCGGATCACCGATCACGGAGAGAGCCGAAGATGTCGGCTCCGTCATGTGATCAGCTGTGTCCAATCACAGCTGATCACATGTAAACACGGAAATGCCAGTTATCGGCATTTCTCTCCTCCGAGCTGTCACGCTGACAGCTCGAGAGGAGAGGAGAGCTGGTACTCGGCTTTCCGCGGAGGGGACATGTACACTGATCATCAGGGCACTGATGATCAGTGTGCCCTGATGATCAGTGTAGCCCCAGCAGTGCCACCTGTCAGTGTCCATCAGTGCCTCGTGCCAGTGCCCATCAGTGCCACATATCAGTGCACATCAATGCCACATATCAGTGCCCATCTGAGCTGCCTTTCAGTGCCACCTATCAATGCCAATCAGTGCCACCTATCAGTGCCAGTCAGTGCCGCCTATCAGTGCCAGTCAGTGCTGCCTATCAGTGCCAGTCAGTGCCGCCTAACAGTGCTGCCTATCAGTGTCATGTATCAGTGCTGCCTTTCAATACACATCAGTGCCACCTACCAGTGCCTCCTCATCAGTGCCCATCAGTGCAGCCTCATTAGCGCACATCAGTGAAGGAGAAAAATCACTTATTTACAAAATTTTATAACAAAAACTAAGAAAAAACATTTTTTTTTCAAAATTTTCAGTGGTTTTGGTTTGTTTAAGAAAAAATAAAAAACCCAGAGGAGATTAAATACCACCAAAAGTAAACTCTATCTGTCACAAAAAAATGATAAAAATTTCATATGGGTACAGTGTTGTTTGACCACGCAATTGTCATTGAAAGTGCAACAGCGCTGAAAGCTAGAAATTGGCCTGCGCAGGAAGGGGTATAAGTGCCCTGTAGGCAAGTGGATAAAGTAGTAGTAAACCACCACCACCAAAATAAAAATCCTTCCCCTGCAGGTTTACTGTAAGTCATAATGTGCTAGTATGCACTGCATACTAGCACATTATGACAGACTTACCTGGACATGGGGCCCACCAGTGCATCAATGTCACAACCCTTGGGCACATCCATCTTCCCTCAGTCTTCCTTCCTGGTCCACGGATTCCAATTGTATGAATGGTTGGAGCCACAATGACATCACTCCCATGCATGCATTTGGGAGCTCCGGCCCAAGCACAGAGCTCTGAAGGTACAGCACAAGTATGTCGTCCCTTCAGATCGCATGCAACAGTGATGTCACTGGCTGCATAGTGTATAGATATCTCCTAAACAGTGCAAGTTTAGGAGACATTCATAGTACCTACACATAAGCTTTATAATAGGTTTGCCTGCAGGTACAAGTTACAAAGTGGACTTTACTTCCACTTTGATAGAGGCTATATTTCCCAAGAGCCCTTTTTCCTACACCGTGTGTGGGCAAGCTCTTAGGGGTCATAGAAGCAGCATTGTTTTGTTGGGAACTAAATCAATGTATGCATAAGGAAAGGGACTAGGATTCGATGGAGTTCTGTAGTCCAGCAGAGGAGAAATCAAACAGAACTGACAATACTGCTTGGGACTTCTGTTGAGCAGAACCAATGTTGTCAGCATTACAGAAATGTTCTGCATATGTTGTTTTTTTTTTCTTTTTTTGCCCAGGCATACACTTCAGACATCTTGTATACATTGTTTTGGCTCCAAGAAAAATATGATCCTGTCAGCATTGTTTTTTTTCTTTTAATTGTATTCCGTATTGATAATTGCTATTTCTTACCTATTATATATGCTGTATAGGGAGTACAAATTATATCAGAGGGTAAACAGCGTTACAAATACAATATTTTATTTAGTTGTTTGTTTGATGTTCTCTTTCATAAATTCTTAAAGCACAACACCTATTATCCAGAGAAGCCTATAAGTGCAAGGTAAAAAATACACTTTATTAGTGTGAGGCTCACATCATCATAAAGTCGTCTAAAGACATTACTGTCTCTGACATGATTTATTCTTTTGATTTTATTGCAGTTTCAATAATTAAATAACTCCAAATAAGAAATTAACTTTGGCAAAAAGATGAAACACTAATAAAAAGGAATGTTTAATGTAGCTATCAACCTCTATCCATTTACCAGTATTATGACATCTTTGTCAAATGCTGCTAAGTGGCTTTCAATACATATTCATAAATGAATCTCAGATTGTCTACACTGAAAAGCATATTTAGCCACAATAGCTACTGCCACTCCTTCAGTTATAGTGTTTATTCACTGGCAGATTGAGTGCTCTGATAATCAGCTACACAAATAAATCCTCACTTCTTCAATTTACAGTTAGCAGAACTGCTTCAGGGTAAAATATGATCACATTTATTGCTACCTCTCAATGCCCTTCTGTTAATGGGACTAAGATGTAACACATACTCCACAAGAACACACTTTTCATATAGATGCTCATGACAGATGCAGTATAGTAGCTCATACAGTATTGTAAATCCAGCAAGTAGTGTACATCTTATGTAGTAAAAAAAAAATCCTTAAAGCTTTATTTTATGATGGGAAATATGTTTTTGGGTTACTAATAGCATATATATATATAGTATTTAGGCTTTATAAACTAATAGACATATCGTTGTTTGCTATGGGGAGGATGACGACCACTTGTTGGTTTAAGAATACACAAACAGATGCTGTCAATGACTTTGAGCTGCTCACAGGTAAGTATTAAAGTGGATCTCCTGTCTCCCCCCCAAAAAATGTAAGTCCTTAGCTACAAATACTGTAGCTGCTGATTTTTAATATAAGAACACTTGTCTGCCCAGGGATCCAGTGATGTCCTTACCCGAGCTGATTATTTCATTGGCTTGGGGTGCAGGAACTGGCATATTGGTAAAGGAAACTGGCAGAGGAGCTTTCTGGCTTCACAGTCGGTTTCCTACTGCTCATGCGTGAGTTGCGCTGCGCTCTGTGACTGGTTACGCAGTCTTCTGGGACCTGTGTGTCCCAGAAGGCTGCTGGGGGAAGGAGGAGGGGCCGAAAGATTGTCGTGGTGATGTTACTCAGAAGTGTACAGAATAAGTCTAATTTATTTTTTATTCCAGCTTTTTGTCCCTGAACAAAGTACATGTGGAGCTTTCCAGGACTGGCCTTGGAAAGCTAGCTACATGACACAATGTTTAGTCACTTGACCCTTGTGTTTTTTTGTCTCTCAAATGATGAAAAAGATACATTGTATCTTATTCTCCTTGCTAGAGTATAACATTTTAAACAAAATAAGTGTGTGTAAAAAAAAAATAAGCTAGATCAGGGTTTGATCTAATCAGTTTCAGTGTTAGGGCCAACGGTTATACCCAGGGTCAAAGGTCAGGGTGGGTGTAGTTTTGGTAGGAGTAAAAGAAAAAAATACAATTTAGAATCAGTGTTAGTGTATTTTAGGTAGGTTAAAAAAGGAAAAATGTACATTATTGTTTCTGGGCCCTACTGTGGGTACACGTCAGGAGTAGGAGCACTGGTGTAGCATCAGGGGTCGCTATAATTACCCCATGTGTGCTCCAGGGGGCCCATGTGGTCTCCTGTCCCATTTGGTTTTACACCTGGACAGGAGGAACAGTGGGGTGGGTTATACAGCAATCAATCCCCTCCTACTTTCATCCATGCAGCCCCTGAAAACCTGCTTCTTCTCCTCTCCCTCCTCTTGGCATTCAGTGGCTGTATTGAAGAAAATTGAAGGCATTGGATGCTGTATATGCCACCCTACTACCCCTCCTGTTCAGGTTACTCCAATTTCTGCTGCCCGGGGCCCCCCCCCTGTATGCTCCCCTGGTTCCCCCTCTCTCCTCTCCCTCTGGTTGCTGGGGAGGATGTTTCAGGATGGAGATCAGGAAAGGGGCCGGTAAATATTTCATTTACCGACCCCTTTCTTTTCTGAATGAAAATCGGTACTGATGGGGCCATCAAGCTTCAAGCTACGACTCAGTGAGTAAGAGAATTAGTTTTGGGCTGCTCTTTGGTGGTATGTCACGGTAATAGCAAGAAATATACAGCTAACTTTAAAAAAAAAAAAAAATTTTGTGCCAGTTTTTATTTGATATTAAAAATAAGCAGGGGGTATCCATTACCTTTTACCACAAAATGAAAACCCACCTATCCCTGAAAAAAGGTATAATTCTCCTGAATGCACTAGGTAGTTAATATGTAAAGTCTAGTACATGTCAAAGTTGCAAAGTGTTCAGGTTTTAGGATTTGTTTGATCTCTTTAATGAAGGGGCTATATTATAAACTGGTAAAAAGTCAGGGAAAAAGAATGTTTACATCTGTTTTTAAAATAGTGCAAAGTAACATACTACAAAAGATTTAGCAAAGCAAGGGTGCATTTATTAAAGCAAAACTTTAGTCAGAAAATTAAGTCCTGCTAAATCGTGTCATGCTGGCTGGCTGTAGGTATACCTACTGTATGTAAAAACATTAAAAATAAGTGCCTATACTGTTTAAAATCCAGTAAAACACTGCCTCACCCTGCTCTGCACATTTTCAGTTGCTCTTTTTTGGCACGGTGCCAAAAATGTAGAGGCCAATTTGCTGACAGCCTGAGCATTTACTGCCACTTCAGTAAAATAGGAGCCTCTGGGAGGAAAAAACAGGAACAATGCTGGAGGCATTTTACAGATTATATTAAAATTGGGAGCATAATTTTTAATGTGGAAAGTATGTTTACTTGCTAAAGAACATTATTTTTATCTAGTTGTTATGGGTAAAGTTCGGCTTTAAGGCTTTGAGCAGCTAGACTAATTATCACCGATCTAATCTCCAGCAGTCTGTTTGGGGATAGGTGGATTTAGCTAAACATATTCTACAGCACCACTGCTCAAAGATGTTGAAACTGAGTGACATAGTCAGATGTCCATGCATTTTATTTTGAGATATTAGGGCACCAACAAATTCCAGCTTTAAGACAGTATATTTGCACCACTAGCTAGAGTGTTCCTAGGGTGTTTGATTGCATTCTAAAAGTATTCATAATTTTGAAGAATACTATATACCTCCAATCAAACACTGTTTATCTGAATTTGCACTTTAAAAGCAGGGTTCATATCATTCAGAAATGCATGTAAAGCTACAACGGGCTTTAAAGTCAAACCGGGACTTTTGAGTGTAGATAATAAAAGATCAAATTTCAATGAGTGGAAACTGCATTACATTTTCAACATACACCCCTGCTATATTGATACACCTATCCCAGCATTTAACTAATGCCTGGAAAGCTTCAGCATAGAAATATTTGTCAATGCCTGAACTATCCTAGGACAGCCTGCTTCATTTTGTCACCATTGTGTTCACCATTCCCACAGAACGATTTGTCTCTTGTGCAACCTCACAACAGGGTATGCGTTGATTATCCAGGATGTTCACAAGAATTACTGCTGTGGGCTGGGAACCACTATGGTCGGGATCGTCACTGATGGATGGCCATCTTTGGCCATCTTACTGCGTCTGAGCATCTTATTTTGAGCATCTACACCTTATTTTACAAGAAACTTCAGCACCACAAGCTATTCAATGCACTAACACTGTTGTCTGTAATCTTGATTAATTGTCTGTTGATTGGCCCGTGACGTGCACCACCTATCAGTAACAGGACACTCTTA